AAGTGCACCAACCTGAGAAGCATCAGAACACAGGCTGCCTGCTCTGCTGGTAAGTCCATTGGTCGGATTCATCGTTGAATAGTGTGCCATGCAAGCTCGAGAACAGTTCTCACTTAAGCCTGAAGAGCTACTCAGTTTCTTCCTGTAGGATGAGATGCTGCAGCCTAATCGCTGCCTTTTTAACGTGCTTGCTTCGCTTGCAACTGCTTAAATGCTTCCAGGCGTTGTCTTGGAACCCTTGAAGCTGCAGCTTGGCAGCTGTTGGCACTGACGTGTCAAGCACCATCAGCAGCAGCAGGCGCCAGGGCAGCGGAACGCCTCTGTGCGCCAGCCTTGCACACTGGAATGCTGCTGCGTCACAGCAGCTGCAGGGGTGCCAAACCACATGCATTAAGCAGCAGAACAGTCTGTACTCGCACACGGCTAGCTGCGCCGCACACAGGCTTGCTGCCTGCATGCCAGTCGCATTGCCCAGCCAGCATTGCAGCAGCATGCAGTCACACACCAGCAGCAGCAGCAGGTGCTGCTTCAGCAGTAACATCAGCAGGAACAGCATTGCCAGCAGTGCTGATGACATGTCGCAACAGCTGCTCCAAGCCTCAGCGGCGAGAGCGTCATAAAACATCATGTTCAGCATTGGACACGCAGAGTAATGGTGCTGCTGGCTCAGTAGAGCAGCCACTGCCAAGTCCCAACGGCAGCAGCAGCAGCAGCAGTAGCAGTAGCGTAGGCACAAATGGCAGCACCGGCAGCAGCCTCAGCAGTGACCCAGCTGCAACCAGCTCTGCCAGCAGCACCGGCAGCTATGACTCCAGCGATGCAGCCACAATCAGCACCTTGATAGCAGAGTCTGAAGCGAGTGCAGGCCGTGCAGCAGACAGCAGCAGCAGCAGCAGCAGCAGCGGCCTCAGCCGCCCAGAAGCTGCGGTGCTTGCTTGCGAAGCGTCAGCGCTCAGCCCCTCAGACTCTGCAGACGACTTGTGTGCAGTAGATGAGCTGGATACACCCGAGAGCCTGACAGATTTGAACTACTCTGGCAGGGGCGGCCCGTCACCAGACATGCAGGGTGTGAACTTCACGCTGGGAACTTGGACGGAGGATGAAGATCCCTTCACCAATTGGTGGAAGAACAGGTGTGGGAACTGGATGCGGTGTGCTTAAAGGGAGTGACTGTGTGAGCGCAGTTGCGTGATGCACTGGGGCAACGCAGCAGTTGCGTGATGCACAGGGGCAACGCAGCAGCACTCCTAGGCAAGGTGCAGCTGCTGCATAAGCTTGCACCGGCAGACCAGCTATGCCTGCACCTGGCAACCCGATACGCTCACACCTGCAGCCGTGGCAGCTGCCAGCGAAACATGCAAAGTTTGTGACATGTTGCAGGTGTGCTGGATTGCCACTGCAGCTGCTGCTGCTGCTGTGGTGTGCTGGCTTATCGCGCTACGTGCACAGGAATCCGACCTTACCTGCTGCTTATGCTATTGGTGGCCAGTCCTGCTGCTGCTGCTGCTGCTGCTACTGAACTGCTGTGCCTGTCAACCTTCTGTGCCTGCAGGGACGACCTGCTGACGCTGGCATATGCTGTGGGCATGGGTGGGCTGGTTGCCACCAGCGTGTTCATCTTTGACGTGTCCATCCAGTATGTGCACGACCTGCCAGACATTCTTGCACAGGTGGGTTGAGTCAGCCCTGCCACCCAGCAGGCAAGAGGGAGTGTGCGGCGTGCTGGCGCTGCAGCAGCAGCCGAAGCAGCAGGAGCATCAGCAGCGACAGACCGAGTACCGGCAGGCACAGCGAGAGGCATGGCGCAGGTCGCTGCAGCAGCACAGCAGCAGCAGCAGCAGCAGCAACGCTCAGCTACTACCAAACGGTGCTTTTCATACGCCGGCAGTGCGGTGTGCTGAGTCTGCAGGAAGCAGCAGCTGCTACGGCCTTCAGGGGCAGCTTCCTCACTCTGCGCAAGCATACACGCCAAGCAGAGTATGCTTGCAGGATAGTCCATGCAGGCCAGGGTGGGGGCGTTGCTTACGATTGTTGCGGCATGTCTCATACATGCAAGAAGTGATGCGGGCCAGCTAGAGCTGGGACACCTGGAGCACGCAACTTGCCGCTGTGCAACGCGTCGGGCCTCAGAGGCTGACGTTTGTGTGCTGCTGTGTTCTGACCTTGCCGTTGAGCTGTGCAGGTGCACGTTGGCGGCGGCAGAGCTACTGGCCTGGTGATTGGGGACACAGCCATCCCCTTCAGGTGGGTGGCTTGTAAGCACGAGCGGCTTGCCAGGCTGCAGCCGACAGCAGGGAGTTGCAGCGCATCACGCGGTGTAGTCGACGCCATGCTGCTGTTTGTCGTATGCGCAAGGCCAGCAACGCACTGTTACACGCATAACGCGCTCACCGTATGATGAACTACAACGTCTGCATGTTACACACAGTGAGCGCAACCGAACGCATGTGCATGTGCTTGTGAGTCAGCGCAGTGTAGCCTCTACAATCTGGCCTGTACCTCACCACACCCTTTGCCATGGTTGCAGGTGCATCATGCTTGCAGCCATAGTTGCTGGCTTCGCAGTGGCCTGCCTGCAAGTTGGCCAATGACAACAGCACTTGCTGCCTTTTCACATTGCCCGGCTCTCTGCCTCCTCTGCGCCCTGCAACGCATCACGTGCGCAAGCAGGTGCATCATGCCAGCTGGCGCCATCTTTGTGGTGGCCATACCTTCAGGTCTGGGGCGTCGTCCGTTGCTGCTCCTTGTCTGATGATGTGCATTGTTGCGCCTGAATGTTTGCGCGCCCAGGTGCATCATGCCAATAGGCGCCGGGTTTGTGGTGGCGTACCTCCAGGGCTGGGGCTTCAGCCCGGCGCTCAAGTTCCTCACCCGTGCTATTGAGGGCGTGGTGGACGACCGAAAGAACGCAGCGCTGCCCACGTCATACTGGCAGGTGCGACGACAACCGCATGCAGGGCTGCATCACAGCAACAGCAAGACCTGGCATGGCAGGCATGGATGATGGATTGGCTACGTGCTACCTGCAGCTGTTTGTTATGTCGCTACTTTTGCTGCTGCTGACATGGGGTTCCCTTGCTTACTGCCGGTGGCGTCCGTCTGTCCTCCAGGTGTTCCGCCGTGCTCTTGCGAGCGTCATAACGCTCGGCAGCGGTGCCAGCCTGGGGCCAGAGGCTCCGAGTGTTGAGCTCGGAGCCAACACCGCGGCGGTGTTTGCACCGAAGCACCTCAGCAAGCGGCGGCAGCGCATGCTGGTGGCCGCGGGAGCAGCGGCAGGTGCGCAGCATGGGCAGCGTAGATGCAGCCAGTCAACGCCAGCACAGCGCAGACCAGCACGGCGGGGATATTGTGCGTGTGGAGCAGCAAAAGCAGCAGCAGCAGCAGCAGCAGCAGGAGCAGCAGCACTCTTGATGAGTACATATTGCAGGCTTGGTCCTCGCAGGGGTGGTTAGGCATGCAGCTGCTGCCTTCTGCGCGTCCAGGCGTGCTTCCGCCCAGCTCACCATCCTGCAAGCATGCTGCTTTGAGCTGCGCCATAACCTGTGGGCTCCCGTGCTGCTGCCCGCATGCTGTGTCCGCAGGCGTCTCCGCTGCGTTCGACGCCCCAGCAACCGGGGCCCTGTTTGCCATTGAGTTTGTGCTCAAGAGCAGCCGGCTGGGGCTCGACCGGCTGTCTACCAGCACCGTGTTTGCGTCAACAAGCGTGGCGGCTGGCGTGATCGGCTTCCTGCGCAGCCAGGGCCAGGCGCTGGGCGTCACGGGCGCCGCCACGCACTTGGTGGGGCGTATCCCGTACTTCAGCGTCAACCCCAACCTGCTGACAGACGTGCTGCAGGTGCGGCGGCAGCCGGTGCACAGGCGTCGGTGCATGATGATGCACAGGCGTGGTGTCTGACCCTAGGTGTTGGGTGGGGCTCCACACTGGAGGTATTGAATTGTTGCGGCACTTAGAATGAGCGGACCGCAACCTGGCGACAGATGGGTGCCGATTTGTAATGGTTCGGTGCAGGTTGTGGCATGAAGCAACAGCAAGCAGCTATCTGGACAGCTGGCAGCTGGCTGACGGACCCCAGTCATTGGCCGGCTTGCTTCAAAGCCATGGCGTAAATCGCGGTTCTGTGCCGACCCTGCCGTGTTGCTGCCCCTCCTTGCTGCCGCGCAGTTCTCGGTGCTGGGGGTGGGCTGTGCCGGCGCTGCTGTGCTGCTGTACGAGGGCGTGCGCGTGAGCGAGGTGGTGCTGCGGCCGCTGCCGCGCTGGGTCAGCGCGCCGCTGGGCGGCGCCGTGTGTGGCCTCATCGCGTTCAAGTTCCCACAGGTAGGCCGCCAGGATGAGTGTGATGTGTGGATCGCATTGCAAACCGTGCTCATTTGGGGTAGCTCATACCATTTAATCTGGTGATTGGAACCACGTGAAACTACTCTCTCATGTAAACATTGGACACCTGACGCATGCTGCGATCGCCTGTAGACTCGTCCACTGCACACAGCGGGTTGCTTCTGCCTTGATCTCAGCGATATCTCCTTGCAGGAACACTATCCATTGTTGCAGAAGCAGCACCCGCACCTGGTTGCCAGGCGGACTCTGACAATACTTCACAGAGCTCGTAAGAGCAGGGCGGCAGTTCTGCTGGTGCAGGGGTGTTTGGAAAAGTCTGCAACCTTTCCTGCGCACCGTCTGCACGCGCAGGTGCAGTACGGCTACATCAACCTGGAGGAGATCTTCAGAGACTCCACGCGCCTGTCTGCGGTCGATTTGTCATCGCTGCTCCTGGCCAAGATCGCCGCCACCAGCGTGTGCGTGGGCGGCGGCCTCGTTGGCGGCCTGTTTGCACCGTCGCTGTTCATCGGCGCGCTCGTGGGCGATGTCATGGGGCACTTTGTCGCCAACAGGTGCGCGGGCGTCCGTGCTGAGCTGTGCGGCAAGGTTTGGTCTGTAAGTAAACATTCGAACAAACAATACTTTGTTATAAAATGCTTTTAAAATTAACATTTTAAATTTCTGTAGCGTAGAGGAGTGGTTACCTTGCAAGACTCATGCTCTTGAGACGATAGTTCGAATCTATCCGCTGCACTTATGCACTTATAGATTTCTTTGCTTATTCTTCAATTTTTATTATAGAAGTTAAAGGTTTTTATTTAATAAGAGAATTATTATTCATTAAAATTCTTCACAACCAATACCAAGATTGCAATTGCTACTGTACAGTCCGTGCTGGGTTGCATCTCCCCATCTGTTTGCAAACACGGCCTTGCCTTTGGCGTGATGCAAACACGGTGAGCAGCATACGGCATGGAGGCTCTTGCCGCAGCCATTTGCCGGTGTCGCCTGCCAGCTGTTGGACGTGCCCTCGCCTGATCTTGTGTCCCCAACATATGAAAAAAAACCTGTAATGGTTGCTGCCGTGCGTCCTGCAGGTGGGGCGTCGCTGATCCCACCACTCTGGTGGTGGTGGGCGCTGCTGCTGTGCTGGGCGCTGCATGCCGTGCGCCGCTGACAGCGTTTGGGCTCATGGTGGAGATCACGAGGTGAGGGGCGCCGCTCAGGCCACACCCCAGCCCCAGGGGCAGCGGCAGGCATCACAGCAGGCGGGCATGCACCACCGTTTAGGGGGCCTCATGTCGCAGATCGCCAGGTCGCGGAAGCTGCAGGAGCAGCCAGGCAGACATGCTAGCAGGAGTATGCGAGTTTACACCCAGTCAGTGGTGTGTGCCACAGCACCGTAGAGGTGCACTTCATTCCAGGCTCCAGGGGCAATGACTCTGCCAGGTGCTGTTGCTGTTACAACAAGTGTTTGGTGGGCTGTCTGCAGTGCTGATCAAGCAGCATCCAGCATGTGCCACCGACTGTTGTGATGGCTCGTGCAACACCCAGGTCATGCTGCTGTCGCCGCCGCCGTTGTTTGTCTCCTCCCTGCTGCAGGGACACTGGCCTCTTTGTGCCGCTGCTGGCTTCCATCGGCGTCGCCTCACTGGTCAGCGAGTATGCAGAGGGCATCTTCAGTGAAAAGTTGGAGACCGCATTGTCCAGCATCTACCTCAAAGAGAAGCTCCTTTTCTGGGGTGCAGGCATGGACAGCCCCAGTCCTGCAATGGCAGCAGCTGCTGCTGCAGGATCGCCCCCCGGGTCCCCAACAGCAGGCGAGTCAGCAGACACAGCCCTCAGCAGCAGTTCAGGCGCTGCGGGGTTGGGCGCAGGCGTCGTGGCGATGGCGGTGAAGCAGCAGCCGAAGCAGCAGAAGACGGTCGAGGCGGTCATCGCGACGCCTGCGCGGCTGTATGTGCGGCACACGCTCCCGCTGGAGCAGGCGAAAGATGCGCTGCTTGCGCGCGCCTCGCAAGCCGCCGTGGTTGTGGACGACTCGTTCACGCCGCTGGGCATTGTGTACCTGGATGACATTGAGGCTGAGCTTGTCCAACAGGAGCTGCTGTCAAAGCCAGACCAGAACTTTGACAGGCCGGCACGCTGAGGCTTCTCGCAGGGTTGACCAATATTTGCCCAGTTTGACCAAGGTTTCAGTTGTGCTGGGCTGGTGGACTGCATGAGCTTCCTATGTATGTGGCAGCTTGTGATGCTGCCTGGCTTTGGCCGCGTGGTATGTTGCTGGTTCCGGGACTCCATCTGCGCGAGCTGTTATGTCGCGGGTTATGTCACGCTAGGATGATTGTTGTTGGCGCTGCAGCGCGGCAATCTGCGCATTGGGCTCAGCTGCAGCAGGGGCGGGATTCACTTGAGCACCGAAGGGCGCATATTATCGTGGTTTCCATTTTGTGTGGCAGCAGCATGTTGGGTAGGTGGGATGCGCTGGGCTGGGCACTGATCTGGGATACAGCTGTGTTAGTGCCAGGGAAAGGAGTGATGGACGTAGTGATCAATTGATTGATCGACTGGGTGCCAGGGCAGGGTTTTTTTTGCCTTTGCAAGGTGGCACTGCTTGTTTCATTAGTGTGCCACAGCACGGATCTGTTGTGTGGGCAGTGGCATCAAATGTACAGGGTGCACAAACAGTAGCTTGTACAAGCTGCATGTGCATACGTTGCGAGGTTTCGCACGGCATGACTTCAAAGAACAACCATGAGGTAGCAGTTGATGCTATGGCTTGAATGCGTACTATGATGATGAAGGTGAGGTAGAAGTTGGTTGGTTGGTTGGTTGACCAGTTGCTCGCTTCATTGGATACTATAGCACAGCGCGTGCAAGAGCGAGATTCATCACCAGGACGCCTTGATTGCAGCAGCTGGGGCGATGGCCAGGACTAGGGGTTGCAAGCAGCAGGGGCTGAAGTATGCACATTTGCACTGCACCTGCTGCCTAGGCAACCTGCCTGTTGGAGCAGGCCTGCTCAGATTGTGCAAACACCATATGTATCTTGGTGGTGTAGTGCAGAGTTGCTGCGGCGGCGGGGCGCTGGGGAGCTGGTGTTGTGTGTTGGATGCTAGCATGCGGTGCTTGCTTTGTGCTGTGTACCGTGCAGTGGTGCACGTCCTGCAACTGTTGCGTAACAGTGTACTGGCAGCCTGTGCTTGCCTGCTGGGTGTGTACAGTGTTGACTTGATCCCATTGCGTCAAGGTGCTGGATGGTTCAACTGAGCAGCTGCAGCGATCGCGGGAGCTCGGCGTGCCGGCTTAGGCCATGTCACAAGCTTGTGACAATGTCAGCACCGTTGGCTTGGTGAGGGTGGCGAGGCTTCCAAAGTAGTGCGGCGGTGCTGTCCAGTCGGGCCCTGTTTGCACGCGAGAGATCAGTCTTCTACAAAATGCTGGCAGAAGCATTGTCAGCGCTGACATGATGTGCAATAATGTAGGTGTACGCAGGTGTGTCACTCTCAGCAACATTGCATTGGCAGCGCTGCGCCAGCACAGCCGCCAGCGGCCATGCCATGAACCCTACTTGTCACCATCTGGAAGATCGTAACACTCAGCAGCAGCAGCAAGCAGGCAGCAAGGGCTTACCACACTCAGAGCCACTTGGCACACTCGCCCAGCTACAGCTGCTGTGCCGTTTGCACCTTGCGGCATACAAATGCGAACCGTACCACTTGCATTACTTTGCCCAGCATTGCAAGTCAAAAACTAGGCGCCGTGAAAGGTTTAGCGTCAACAGGCGTCCCACCAGGGAAAGTTAGCCCTCCCAATTTTTGGATACAATGTTGAGTTAACCCAGCAGCTGGCAGATGGTTGCACCACTCTGATAAACAGGCAGCAGTGTTAACTGCCATATGCTTGTTGCAACCTATGCACTGCAGGTGGCGAGACCTGCCAGCGACAGCTGGCTGACACGGGCGTCTCTAGTGTAGTGGGCTATCTTCAACTTGCTGCCTGACCTGCTCGCGTGACCAACAACAAGGCTTGTGCACACAGCAAGCAACAGCAGGCCAACTACGCCATACAATGCATCATGCTGCTTGCTCAGTCACAATGCCAGCTGCGCAAGCAAGCTGCTGCAGCGCATGCAGATGTTATGCACACCATGTGGCAGAACTCATCCAGGCCAGAAACACTGCAACAGCACCTGCGCATCTGAGCAGCCTTTTGCTGCCGGCAGGGCATTCACGTGCGGTGCATCATGCAGAGCTTGCTGCGCCGTTCACAGCAGTGTCAGAATGTTGTCGGCGGCGCTGCAAGTCAGTCCAGGCCCTGACTCCACCTCCAGCTTGGTGATCTGCAGCAGCAGCAGCAGCAGGTGACAACACACCTCAAAGTGCAATGCAGAAGCATGCACAGCTGTGCGTGCACGATGCAGGTCAGGTCCCTCTGCTTTTCCTTCTTTGCTTTGTTGCTAGACGCAGTGCTGCTGCCTGTCGCAAAAGCCGAAGCCATGGCTGCTGCATGTTGGAGAAAGTTGTACTCGAACCTTGCATGAAGACCCATGCGTGTCGCTTGCGCACATCATCATCCTGCAATGCAGCTGCGTCCACCTCTGCAGTTGCTGCTGCATGCTGTTCACATTGCGCCTGCTGCACAGCTGAGCACAGATTTGGCAATTGGCAAGCATCAAGCCCCCAGCACCATTTGCCCCCGGGCTTCCTCTGGGCGTTGCACCAGCTTGGGCCACACATCAGGGCAACACGGCAACACGGGATCTGCTGCACTGACAAGCGGCACACGCATGCTGCTGACAATGACATGGAAACCCAAGCTAGCTGCTTGTGAGCGGCAGCTACATGCAATTCCAAGCACTGCTGCTAGCTAGGCTGTACATGTGAGTTGGATTCAGCGCTGCCAAGTGAGCGGGGCATCCCGCACTCACCACACCGTCCTCAATCACCGCCGCGTAGCGCTGGCTGCGCTTGCCCAGGCCGAAGCCGCTGCCGTCCATCTCGAGGTCCATGCCCTTGGTGAACTCGCCGTTGCCGTCAGCCAGGAACAGCACTGCACTGCCTGCAGCCAGCAGCAGCAGCAGCAGCAGCAGTCGCAGGTGGTGTGAGTGCAGATACCTGCGACTGATGCCCAGGTACTGTAGGCCAAGGGCAGCACCGCACGGCCTACAGCCAGCCACAGCAGCAGCAGCAGGTGGTGCTGGTAAGCTGCAGAACGTTGGTACAGATGCACAGCAGTGCAGCCACCTCGTAGGCCAAATCTGAACACACGACGAGTGCAGAGGCATGTGAGATAGGGATCCTTGCAGACAAGCAAGTGAGGAAGCAGCAGAGGTGGCATGTGTTGGAGGCAGCGCACCCAACCAGACGCTTCAGCTGCTGCTACTGTTTGCGCATGACATGCAGCCCCCTTGCACGCAGTCCCTGGCAACAGGTAGCATCGGCAAGTGCCAACCAGGTAACCACAACGGCTGGCATTGGTGCTGCAGCAGCAGCCCCAGGATCTGGCATGACGGCCTGCTGCATTCATGGACAGCGCCGGCGCATCACATCCTGCCACTGCCGCTGCTGCCGCCTCGTGAGCCGTTGTTTCAGCTATGCCGGGGCCCACCTGCGGCCAGGTCCTTTGCCCAGGCGTCCATCACGAAGGCATCGTTGACCGACACGCAGGCGATGGTGTCCACGCCCTTGGCCTTCAGGTCAGCCGCATGCTGGATGAAGCCAGGGGCATGGCTCTTGCTGCATGGAAGCAGCA